CCCTTTTCTCCACAACCTCTCCAGCATGTGCTATCACTTGAGTTTTTGATCTTGGCCATTCTGATGGGTGTAAGGTGAAATCTCAGGGTCGTTAACCAGATACTCTAAATCAGTTGGAAAAAAAAGTGGGAAACAGCCTAGAACTCATTGGCACAGGAGACAACTTCCTGAACAGAACACCAACAGCACAGGCTCTAAGAGCAACAATCAATAAATGGGACCTCATGAAACTGAAAAACTTCTGTAAAGCAAAAGACACTGTCATCAAAACAAATAGACAGCCTACAGATTGGGAAAGAATCTTCACCAACCCTTTATCTGACAGAGGGCTAATATCCAGTATATATAAAGAACTAAAGAAGCAGAAAAGCAACAAACCAAGTAATCCACTTAAAAAATGGGGAACAGAGCTAAACAGAGAATTCTCGAAAGAGGAACATCGAATGGCAGAGAAACACTTAAAGAAATGCTCAACCTCATTAGCCATTAGGGAGAGCTGGTCTTAAGGACAGGAGCACAGGGGAGTAGGCCTTGCCCCTTGTCTGCTGCTATAGGCAGGAGAGCTGGCTCCTCCCCTCACTTGGGCAATGAGGGAGAGCTAGCCCTAGTAGTTTTTGTGCAGGAAAGCTGCTTGGCTGAGCAACTGAGCTTCCACCCAGGGCCCAGATCCAGAGTTTACAGATAGTTCACCCCAACAGCTACACTATTTATGAACTGCAGGAGTATTTGAAGTGGCCAGTCCTGCAAATTAAAAGCTGCTGGATCTCTGTGTCACAGTGCAACAACAGCTTATCAGAGAGGAATCCTGCTGAAGCTCCAGTATTGATAGTGTAGCTGAAGGCAGAGCCCTCAATCCAGACCAATGACTCATTGCAATGAACATTTGCAAGTAAAGCTATTTGGGGAAAGGGTGTGCTGTGCGAAACACCATGACATACTGCAGCTTTCAAAACAGGGTGTTTTGGTTTTTATTATTACTATTATTTGTTTTCTTTTGGGGGGTGTCCAAGGGCAGAAGTCAGATACAGAGGGTTGGGAAGATGAGTGAGTGGGATTGGGGTCCATGATGTGAAATTCCCAAAGAATCAATAAAATGTTTAAAAAGTAACTATGGTTTTATTATTAGTGATATCTAAAATTATTAATTTTGTCTATGATATAGCATTTCATATTTGGAACACCAAAGAGAAAAATTGAAAATGTAAAAGGCTTGGTTTCTTCAAGCTTTGACACCATGACTTTCTGCTAGAGTTTGTACCTAATGCTTGATTGACTTTGTAATTTTGAAGGTTTTTGCCCTCTACTGTGGTAGTAATAACCTCTTCTGGCCATTACTATAACATGATTTAAAAATAATATATAGAGGAATTATAGAGCTACAAAATTCTCTAGAATATGTTGTTTCCTTACATACATTTATTTCTTGAGAAGTATCAGACATCAAAACAATAATATAAGACTTGGGTAGGTATAATTAATGAAGGAAAGAGGAATATTATTTCTTCAAAACAGAAAGAAACTAACTGAAACAGTTTCAGCAGCAGCAATAACTGTGGTCTAGAGGCTCTTTTAAATTATAAAGCTACACTTGCTAACTCAATTAACACAAAGGGACCTTTCTTGACCTAAAAGAAATTCCAAGGGATAAAACTGTGAGAATATATGGATTTATGATGATTGCTTCTCATAGAACGGTGTTTGAGGGCATATTTAGAGAACTGACAATATCATAATTGATATTGTAACTATTCGTGTAGCAGCTGTTCTTGTAAAAGTCATTAATTTTTATATTTACACAATTCGTAATTTTTCTTTCTACACTTACAGTATTCTTGAATGAATTTTTTTTACAAATGATTATCATTTACGCAAAACATCCCTAATGTCTGAGCTGTAGGGTCATGATGAATATTCCAGAGTATAGTTTTTGAATGTCTTGTTGCAAGAAAGCATATAGAAAATTTTCTTTGCTTACTTAATTGTCTCATATCAGGAGTGCTATGGAATATGAAGCCTTTATTTCAAATAGAACTTATCAAGTTCAAATGGGCTTAAAGTGGTTAGTTGTCTGTTTTTATCTTGAAATAACAGGGTTAATATCTGAGAGAAATATTTCTTGAAAAAGAAAACTGCAGAAGTTGCTGTCACATCAAAAATCAACTTAGACACTATTAAAATTATATTTAACATAGTTGCCATATCCAAGCTTCTATTTTTCAGTTGTGTACACACAGATGTGGATCTAAAGGAGGAAATGTGTGACTTTCATCTTGTCTTGATTATTTTACGTTGATTACAAATTATATAGATAGGATGAATGTGAAGTAGAGTGTAATGAAATTCAGGAAAAGAAGGCAAGAGCTATTCAATTGCCCAGTTAACCAATTTTGGAATTAGAAAGACATGCACAAATTAAAATTCTTCAACTTATTAAATATGTGAACTCTGCTAATTTACTCAAGTTCTTTTTTGGTTCCATGACTCTAAATTGGATTATTAATACATATATATTGTTAAATTATTATGAAATTTTAGTCAAAAACATAAAGTTCTTATCAATCTCTCTTAAATGTAGTAAACATTCAAGTACACTTGATTTATTATGTTATTACCTTTCTTCATAACAAGTACTTGCTGAAATTTTAGCAGCTGTGAGTTTACTCTTATTATCTTCATTATCATGACTAGATATAGCCTAGAAATATAAGTTAGTTATAGAGTCATTCCCCAACATGTCCAAGGCCCTCAGAAATGTCTGTGGCATGTTCAAGGTCAAATAGAGCCACAAATTTTAATAAAGGAAGAAGAAGAAATGAGATGATTACAAGTGTCAATTCTCAATCTTAGCAATTTTTCACTAACTTTCTTTTTTTCAGTTTTTCTTAATAACAAAGTTCATGATTAGGGCAAAGGAAAGCATTTCAGGAAATGTTTCATCCACAATATTGGAAGGTGAAACTTCAGTCTGAACAGAATGGAGAAATGGGACTGACATACTCCCTTTCAGAAATAGATTTTCCCTTAATATGTAGAAATGTGATAGAGATTCAGACTTAAAAGTACATCTTATAGAGAAATCAAAATGTGTTTCTCTGATTCTGGGCATGGAATCTTGTCTATATCTATATCTTGCTTCTTATTTGCCCCAGCGTTTGGTTGACATATATTGTGAAATGTGGACTTAGCCAAAACATTGGTAATTAAATTCCTCTAGTTTAAGTGTCTAAGCCCCACACTTCTGATGAGTGAAAATATTTCTGAGAAGCAAAATCCATTATAGAAAGAGTATATAGTATTTTCTAGGCTTTCCTTTTTAAGGTAAAGGAGGCAGGTCCCTTTAACAGTATCTATTACATAAGCACATTCTTTTTAGGAAGAACTTCCGGTGAATCATTAGATTCTTGCCAGAAACTAAGGCAGGCTCAGAGACTCAAGTGCTCCTGAAAGAGGTTTGTTGCCAACAGTTCAGTAACGGAGAATTGAAACTTATTAGGGCTTTCTTCTCTAGTACTCACTAATGAACATAGCCTTCTCTTAACCTATGCCATTCTTTCAATCCCCAGTAATGTGTTCTCTTATGATTTTTCAGAATTGCGACCTTGGCAACGTTCCTGACCGAGGTAGCGATAGCTACCTCTAGCCAGAGTACTAAAAGCCGAGGTCTGCACAACGAAGTGGCCTAGTAGGCCAGAGATCAACATGGAAGACAAACTTCATAGTGTAAAAGTCTATGTCATGATGGAGGATGAGCAGTGGGAAGACATAGGCTCAGGACAAATTTCATCCAAATACATCGAACGGCTCCAGGGCGTGTGCCTGCTTGTTCACTCAGAATTAGATGGCTCACTGATTATGGAGCGCAAGATATATCCTGATGTACCCTATCAAAATCAAGGGGATTTAATCATTTGGTCCGAAGCTGAGAACCATGGTATGGCAATTCATTTCCAAGAACCAAATGGTTGTAAAGAGATCTGGGAGGATATTTGCCAAGTTCAAGGTAAAGATCCGAGTGTAGAAATTACACAAGAGCTTACCTATGATTTAGAAAGTTTTGAAGATATGTCGCAGATCTGGAATCTGGTTGAGATTCCAAACTGTGAGATCAGTATGCTTGAGAACATTGCAAATTTATTTGCTTTTATTCGTGAGGCACCAAGCCACAAAGAAAGCCTGGCCCTGATCTTGGAAAACGAAAATTACATTAAAAAATTGCTACAGCTGTTCAAAACTTGTGAAAAACAGAAGAATATGCAAGGCTTACACCATTTGCATAACATCATTAAAGAAATCCTATATCTCAACAATTCACGTTTGTTTAAGATCATGTTTTCTGATGAACTTATCATGGATGTGGTAGGATGTCTTGAATATGATCCTGGTTTGGATCAGCCAAAAGGGCACAGGGAATTTTTGACTCAAGGTGCAAAATTCAAGGACATTATACCAACAACCCACTCCAAACTTAGGCAAAAAATACACCAGACTTACAGAATACAATACATACATGACATTCTGTTGCCTACACCATCCTTATTTGAACAGCATATTCTTTCTGATCTTAAAGCTTTTATTTTTTTCAACAAAATTGAAATAATTAGCATGCTGCAGGAAGATGAAATTTTTTTGTTGGAAGTTTTTGCTCAGTTAAAAGACAAAACTCTTGGTGATGAGAGAAGGTATGAATTATTATTATTCTTCAAGGAATTTTGTACATTTGCTAAGACACTGCAATCTCAAAAGAAAGATGCATTACTGAAAATACTGATAAAGTTAGGCATTATGAGTGCTCTGAAAGTCACAATACACATGCGTGATTACCAAATAAAAGCAACTGCTCTAGATATATTTACTTACCTAGTAGAATATAATCCACGCCTAATCCGAGTATATGCAATGGAAGAAGCTTGGGACATTAGAGATGATAAAGACCTTATCATTAATATAATGATTGAACAAATAATTTGTGATCCTGATCCTGAACTTTCTCGTGGCATCAGTTTGACATCAGTTCTTCGTGTTCTTCTTGATACAGAAAATATGTGTTTGACATCTAATGGATATGAAAGAAGGGAATTTCTGAATTTCTTCTATACACATTGCATGAGTAATCTGTTAGCACCAATTTTGTCTACCACAGTACAGAAAGATAGTGACAATAATAGGACCAACATCTGTCCTGATAATTATGAAAATGCACAATTGTATGGAGTAGTTTTAGAACTACTCACCTTTTGTATACAACACCACTCAATATACATTAAAAATTACATTTTAAGCAACAACTTGCTTAGCAGAATATTGATGCTAATGAATTCAAAGCACACTTTTCTAATTTTGTGTACTGTCCGGTTTATGAGAATGATGATTGGCCTTAAAGATGAAATTTACAATCTTTATATAATTAAGAAAAATCTGTTTGAACAAATTGTAAATGCTTTTATGCGTAATGGAACTCGATACAATATGTTAAATTCAGCTATTATTGAGCTATTTGAATTTATAAGAGAGGAAAACATAAAGCCTCTTATTGCAAACATTGTGGAAAAATTTTTTATGGCTTTTGAATCAATTGATTATGTCCAGACGTTTAAAGGGTTGAAAACTCAATATGAAGAGGAGAAGGAGAGAGAAAATAAAACAAAAAGGAATTTACATACTATTATATACAAGAAAATATGTTGCAGACGTATCAAAGATATGGAGGTAAAAATCAAGGAAGAAATATGTACTTCTGGGGAAAACACAGAAGAAGAAGACGAAGCTATTCTACCAAGTTGTTATGACATGTGTAGGAAAATTGAAGAGGCAAATGAAAATGAAATAGATAGCCTAAAAAGAAAATCACCAGAAGCCTTTGAATGTTCTTCATCTCATTCTGGTGCGTCTGCTAATAGAATGAGTTGGTCACACCATAGCAGCAAGGTCGCTTTAGTAGATTACTCAGATGATGATGATTATGACAGTGACAATGACCCTCATGATAATAATGAAAGTGAAGTTGAAGATGAAGAACCTCCCCAAAAAAGACCTACTCTTAGTTTATAAAATCATATGAGGACCTCAACTTCTGGTTCAATAAAATTCTATAAATACCACAAACTGAAAAAATCTAATTAAAAATGTTTCTCACATAGACTTTTAGATATGGTAAAATAAGGAGCAAATATGAATAAGAGGTCTCGATTTTATCTTGAAAAAATCTCCCATAAGATAGATGCATAATATAAAATAAATAACAGCTGACTGATAACTTCCTTATCAAGAACATCTTACTTTAAGCAGCACGGTTTGGAAGAAGGAAATAATTTAATAAAGAAATGCAATTTTTACTAAGTTCTTTATATTAGAAGCAACTATAAGGTTTTATTGCAAAGCCTACTTTCAAAAAAAGAGGGTCTAGCAATGCCATTCTTTCCACAAATTGAAGGGCTTTATTTAAGTGTTTTTTGTTTGCATGGAAGACAAAGTCAATATTACAGTTTTTTTAAAAAAAAAAGGTGAGACTTTTCAACATTTCTGGGAAGATTGAACAGAACTTCACCATTACAAATAATACTAGGGAAACAACATTCAGGACAGTTCGGTGCATATTTTCAGGAATAAAAAGCTGGATCCTAAAGAAGCTGTTACTAATGTACTTCTTTTTAGATAAGAAATACCAAATATCGGTATCAATACAGTACTATTCCTAATGCGTTTCCTCTAGGATCTCCAGAGGACAAAACAGGGTACTTCAAATATCCAGATTGTGAAAGTTATTTCTTCATTCATTAATTAAACTATGTCCTTTTCCCTAGAGTAGTAAGCACATACTAGCATATACATATTTCTTTCTGGTTGCTGAAACAAACTAACAACAACAACAACAAAGGAAATTTTAATTTTGTCTTACAGAGTGAAGAGATTACATTCCATTCTGGTAGGAAAGGTATAGGAGTAGACTATTCAGTGGTTAGAAGAGTCTAAAGCATCCTGACCTGACACATTATACCCATAATCAACAAGCAACTAGATGAATTCTGATGCTCAGTTCACTTTCTTTTTTTTTATTTAGTATAGGAGGTCAGCCAATGGTACAGTATCACATATGTTCAAGGTAAGTCTTCCAATGTCAATTATTGCAGTCTATAAGCTGCCTCAAAAATACACCATGAAATTTGTCTCCTGTTAATTATTAACTATCACTAATTAACCTTTTGCTTACTTACTGCCCAAGCATGTAAGTTTTAAGTCATTGTGATCCATTATCTCATACAAAATCACAAAATGCATTCAGCCTAATTGTAAAACATCCCACAGTCTTTAATAGATTCAACATTGCTCAAAAGTGTAAGGACAGAATCTTTTCTGAGGTTCAAATATTCTCTTAACTGTGAGGTGCTATACCATAAAATAAAAGGCATATCATTGACTTTTTGTGGTGATAAAATACAGGAAAAAAATCAATTTATGGAGGCTATAGAGACTGTTCAGCAGTTAGGAACACTTCCATAAGACCGAGTTTAATTCCCAGTTACCCTCATTGCAGCTAAGAAGCATGTATAACTCCACTTCCATGAGACATGTTGCCCTCTTCTGACTTGAACAGTCACTTCATGCATGTATTATAAAAGACAAAATATCCACACATAAAAAAAATATATTTTAAAAAAATCATCTCTGGAAGAAATAGTTCCTTTTGTCTTATGGCTCCAAGAGGAAAAACGCATAAGTGGTAGGGGAAGCACGGTAGCAGATTGCTAGAGAAAAAAGCTGGTAATCACATCTTTATCCACATATGGGAAAGAGAGATAAAAGAAAAGAAGACAGAATTGAATTAAGGAACGTCTACAAACTCTCAAAGCCAACCCTCAGTCGTGTTCTTTCTTTAGCAAGGCTTTACTTTTAAAGATTCCATAACTTTCCCAATAGTGCCACTAACCATGAGTCAAGCATTCAAATTCTTGGATCATTGAGGGAACAGTTTTCATTTAAATCAGCATATTCTGCCACTGGTTCCTTATATGCATCTAGCTATATCGTGATGCTGTTATGTAACAAAAAATTTTCCTGGAGAGATGAAATATACATGTCTAGTCACCCCAGATATGGACCCATAACAGACCAAAATACAGACATCACCAAAGTCTAACTTGGTGAACCAATGTGTTTTATTGGCGTTATTTACAGGAATAAGGGTGAGGTATTGCAGAAGCAGAAATGACTCAAAGAGAGCTGCATTACCAAAGTCTATCCCACCAAGGGTGACAGCTCACAAAGCTTGGAAATCTGGGAAGCATTTCAAATCCTGCAGACAGTTCAGCAATTAGAATGTCCTTTCTGTGCAACTCAGTAAGTTGACCTGGTGTTTCTTCTTGGGCTTGTCTTGTCTAAGAGTGACTTTTTTTTCAACTTTCATTTATTGTTTGTCTATTTATTTATTTATTTATTTACTTACTTATTTATTATTTTCTTACATACTTATTTAGTTAGTTTTTGTTTATTTATTCATTTTACATCCTGGTCATAGTTCCCTCCTTCCATCCCTCGTTTTCTCCCAGTCTCCCCTTTCTCCGTATTTCCTGTTTCCCCCTTCTCCTACTCCTCAGAGAAGGGGAACTTCCCCTACCTACCCTCTACTTTTTCCTTGTGACCTGTTGAGGTAGCCGCGACAGGGAAAAGTGATCAAAAGCAGGCCACAGAGTCTATGTCAGGGTCAGCCTCCATTCCCCTTACTAGCAAACTTGTATGAGGATTGAGCTGCCAATTAGCTACATCTGTGAAGGAGGCCTAAGTCCAGTCCATATATGATCCTTAGTTGGTGCTTCAGTCTCCACAAGACCCTTTGATCCCTGGTTGGTTGGCCTTCTCAACACTCTTCCACAAAACTCCCTGTGCTTCACCCAATATTTGATTGTGGGTCTCTGCATCTGTTTATATCAGCTGCTGGGTGGACCCACTCAGAAGACAGCTATGCTAGGTTGTTGTCTGCAAGCAGAGCAGACTATCATTAATAGTATCAAGGATTGACAGCCTTGCATGGGGTTGGGTCAGGCATTGGTTGAACATTCCCTCAATCCCTGCTTTATTTTTGTCCCTGCACATCTTCCGGGCAAGGTAAGTTTGGGGTCAGAGTTTTGCAGGTGAGTTGGTGTTCCCTTCCTTCCACTAGGAGTTGTGTCTAGTTAGAGAGTGGTCTCTTCAGTTTCCATGTCACCTACTGCTAGGAATCTCATCTAGAGTCACCCTCATATTCTCCCAGGAGCCTACCCTATCTTAGTTCACCAATTTGTTCACAGAGATGTCCCTGCCCAAGGTTTCTCTCCTCTCTGCAAGCCCTCGGTCTTTTCACCCCCACTATCCCAAGGTCTCATTACCCGAGAGTGACTCTTAATAGCATTTTGTTGTTTATTATTTTTATTCCTTACAACAATTACATCCAGAGCACAATTTCCCATACCTCCACTCCTCCCTAGTGCTCCCCTTCATCTCCCCTAAATCCACTCTTCCTCCATTTCCCTTCAAAAAAGAGTAGGCTTCACAGGGATATTGATTGAACATGACATAAAAAGTTAGAATAAGACTAGGTGCAAACTCTCATAACAAGGCTAGACAAGGACACCTAGTAGGAGGAAAAGGGTCCGAAACACAGGCAAAAGAGTCAAAGATACCAACACAGCCTTCTGTGGTAACACAGACCATGGACATCCACTTTACCTCTAACAGGAGCATAGACCATGGACATCCAAACAGCCAGGCACTACAGATACAACATAAATCAATATGGGTTTAAGTGGCAGCACAGACCATAAATGTTCCCATGGCCTCCACTGGTAACATGGACCACAGATATCAACCCAGCCCATGGGCACAAAAAACTCAATGGACATCATCATGGCTCTTTCAGAGGCAGACTGTGCTACCACCTGAGGATATGCAGATGTCAAGTGGTTTATGTTGCAACTGAGCTCCATGTTGGAATCCTTGGTCTTGCTGCATGCAGTTGAAGGTCATGTGGATGTCTGAAGCCCATGTTATATCCGAAGGCCATTTGGATATCTGTCATATGTGCTGCTACCTGAAGACATGTTGAGGTCATACTGTCATGCTGCAACCAGGAGTTATGTTGATGTGTTTGGCCTACTTCCTGAGGTCATGTTGATGTCTATGGTCTGTGTTGCTGCCAGGGTCCATGTTGTCCATTGTTCTGCTGCAGTTAAGATTAGTTTTGATGTCTATGGCCCATGTTACCACCAAAGGCTATGGGGATGTCCATTGTCTGTGGTACCACCTGAAGCCACGTTGATGTCTGTGGGCCATGTTGTAACACACACAAAAATGAAAGTCCAAGATCCATGCTACTGCTGATTATAAAGTTCAAGGAAGTTTCATTTGCTGTGGTATCAATGACTGCTGACTCACTGTCGAGAATGAGAGACATAGAAGGCTTCTGTGACAGCCTCTATTCACCACCCCACAACTGCCCTCTAAAAAACAATCTAGAAGCCATTGAAGATAGCTCTTGAATATTGTAATAGGGATGACGAAGTGTAGTTCTTCACAGTTGATGAATTCTAGTAGGAGTTGGAGATGGAGTATGGAATGATTCAGTCTTCTTTAAGGGGCTGGGCACTGGGAGTTAGATCAGTCTCTGTTGAGTATATGGGCAATGCAAATTTTACTTGGTATTTTTTTTCTTTTCTGTTCTCATTCTTCTTTGGTTTTGAGGAAAGACACAAGGTTGAAAGTGGATCTGGAAGGTCTGGGAAGTGAATGCGATCTGAGTTCATTTATGTGAAATTTGCCACAAGAACACTAGGCTATGCAAACATATATGCAGAGGACCTAGCTCAAACCCTACAGGGTCTGTAATTGTTGCTTCAGTCTCTGTGAGTCCTTATGAGTCTTGATTATTTGGTTTTGTAGTCTGGGTCTGTCTGGTGTCCTAGACTCCTCTGGCTCCTAGAATCCTTCCTCCCCCTCTTCTTCACGGTTCTCTGGGCTTTGCCAAGTGTTTGGCTATAGGTCTCTGTATCTTCTCCCATCACTTGCTGGTTGTTGCCTCT